CCGACAACTGGATGGGCTGCGTGGTAAAGTACGCTGATGTCGGTGCCATGCGGGAGCCCACGCGAGCGATCCGCGTGCCCTGCAATCGGACGGTTCAGGATCGTTCTTGCGCGCATGGATGACTCTGATTTATTTTTCCCTTAAATGCGATCAGACGGCCGAGATTAAATCGTGATGGACAGATCATATTCATTTTTTCATTAGTCGCGATCGGATGAACGAGATCAATCGTGATGGATGACCCAGATCAACGCGGGATGAGTATAAATATCTTGCATTACATGAGAACCCAAAACCTAACCGCCAGCCTCCATCGAAGAAGAAGAACCAGATGCCAGAGAAAGAGTCTGATTGCCGACCATCGTCGCACTGGAGCCACGTCGACTGCCAAAAAAGATAAAAATTTTCTCTACCCGCTCAGAATTCGATTCTAAACACCCTTGTAGCCAAATCAGAGAAAAAAGAATAACGGATGAGCCGAAAACCGCAGGTAAAGCTCGGCTGAACTGCTGCTATAACAATATGGAACTAGCTAGAAAATAAATTATAAATTGAATGCGAAAGCGAAATAATAGTATTAGGATTTACATTTCTTACACAATAATTCAGAATATCCAATAGGGTTATAAGAATGACCATTCTAAAAGAATAACAAAAAATCAAAGAAATAAATAGAAAGTAAACAATTGGACATCCTATTCGCAACTCTATTGTGGATCGTGATCTGGATCTTGGTTCTCTTGATATGAAATGGTTAATGAAAGAGTGAGCTATATTAGCCCAGTAAGAATATCACATTACTCACCGATATAGAAAATGAAAGTTAGCAAAAATTATGAAAATAACTAATAATGTAACGGCTCCAGAAATTTAAATAAAATATATGTATTAAAAATGTCAAATGCGGAAGCGTAATAAAAATTTTGATTAGCATCCCTTACACAATAACTAAAACGAACTCAAAATATGAAAGAACAAACTAACTAAAAGAGATACTCGAAATAAGAAATATAAATATAACTATGGAGTCTTTAGGCGTCCCATTCGCCGTCTTCCTGCGGAACGAGCTTGGGAACAATGTCTTCCTGATCTGAAATAGTTAAATAAGGAATGAGCTATACCAGCCCAGTAAAGACATCACACTATCTCACCGCCACGGAAATAAAG